GACCGGTTTCGACTATAACTAATATAGTCATTATCAATTGCCTAATATAAGATGTTAAAGAATACATTTTTCTCCTACTATTATGTAAGACTAAAGTCAGGAGTTACGAATAACTTCTAATCTAGTAGTACACATAATAATATATAATTATTAGAAAGTTATAATATAAACAACTTTCAATAATTTGCAAGAGATTCTCCAACTATATGGGTGTGTTGATGAAACAAAAAAGAAATGATTCGAAAATCAAAACAATTTTATTTAAAATAAAGTTGGCAAGACCGGTTTCGACTATAACTAATATAGTCATTATCAATTGCCTAATATAAGATGTTAAAGAATACATTTTTCTCCTACTATTATGTAAGACTAAAGTCAGGAGTTACGAATAACTTCTAATCTAGTAGTACACATAATAATATATAATTATTAGAAAGTTATAATATAAAAGAACATAACTTCCAATAATAATGATAAAGAGAGTTTCTTTTTCTTTTATGTTTGTCAATAAAAGTGAAATGATTCAATATTTACTTTGACCTTTTTTTATGGTTGCATAGTAGTAAACGCGTATTTTCTTCGGTCTTGGTTTTGATCAAGTTATTATATTCGAAAAGTCCTTATTGAGGGTTAGTAGTTTTGGTTTCTGCAGATGAGTTTGGTTCTATTATTGTTGCACATTGTTGTACATGTTTTAATAATTTCATAAGTGATGTCTTTATCTGAAATGAAAAAAAAATATTATGATGTATTAGGGAGGTATAAAGTAATCAACTAAATAGTTATATCTTGAAGTTTTAGTTGAAGAGTTACACAGGGAAGATATATACAAAAAAAAAGAGAAAACAAAAGTTGGATGAATGTGTTAGTTCAATTTAAAAAAAAAATAAACAAGAAGAAAAAAAGGAAATCATATTTATAATTTACAATGAATAGATCGATGAACATGAAAAAATACAATGTTTATATCAATTTTCTATAATATTTCAATAGTTATCATGCGTTGGATTGTTCAAGAAGTTGTTCGTGTTGTTGATTCCATCTTTGTTAATATTTCTCGTTTTGGTTTCTTGTGTATTAAAAGACTTTGTAATGTTCGATTTAATATTGTACCAAGTATCAGTCTTGTATTTCTCAAACGTGAACCTGGATAAACATAGAATTTTTCCCATATTTGACGATATTCTTTTTTAAAGTTTATTGATGGACCCGTTTCGAATGTGTAATGCAGATATATTTGATTCTTATTTTCATGATTTGTCGACTTTTTAGAAGATGTACCATTTGATTCCACTTGAACTTTTTGTTCTCGTCGTGTAGGCTTATATAGTAATTCATCATGTAGTTGTTGATACGATTGAGAATTTAAATCAGTCCAGACATTCATTGCATTATATTTGACGAAGAAATTTTTTATATGTTCGTGTAAAAACTTTGGTGGATAACCATTGACTAATAATATCATTTCAATACTTAATCGTTCCATATCAAAGTCTTCAATATTTGAACATATTCGAGCTGCTCGAACTAAGGCATTGTTTAATATATTTATATGTACATGTCGTGGATGATCTGATGAATAGGGCAGAATATAAGGTTCTGATGCTGATTTATGATAAATAGAAGTTGTTAAATTGCCATTGTTACTTTCTATTGTCACATCAAGATAATCTAATGTTTGACTAATTGTTGTTGTTATTTTAATATTTGGATCTGTTTGAGTTGTTTCATCAAGTAATTTTTGAATTTGTTCTCTGGTTAAATTACTTGTCATGAATACATCATCAATATATCTACAAGTATTTTTTATCATAAAAAAAAAGAAGTTCACAAATAAAAAAATTTACCGTCCATAAATTCCATTATGTATTTTTTGATGTTGAATTAATTTTTGTTCCCATTCTAACATATAAATATTAGCTAATATCATAGTAAAAGGTGAACCCATAGCACCTCCTTTAGTTTGACGATAATATTTTTGTTTATATGCAAATGTATTAGTATCTAATACAACACATGCTAATTGAATAATAGTACTTATTTTTAGAGTGCCAATTTTTCCATTGATAGCATATTTTTCACAAAATCGTTTTAAAGCAGCAATGGCACCATCTCGTGGAATCATTGTATATAAATCAGCGACATCAAATACAACAAATAATGTTGTCGAATTAACATAACCTTGTTGTTGATATTCTTTTAATTTTCGAACAACATCTATACCATTAATAAATGTAATATCTTTCGTCACATGATTATATATTGGAGTTAGAAGTTGATCTAAAAAACTTGATATAAGTCTTGCTGGTGCATTCATTGAAGCAACAATAGGTCGAACTGATATATCAGGCTATAAAAAAAACAAAAAATTATAATAAAAAAAAAGAAAAATTATCATAAAAAAAAACAAGTAGTTTACCTTATGAACTTTAAGATTAAAATAAATATGAGCCAATTCCAATTTTTCTAAGTCTGGTTTCATTTTTTTATATTGTTCACTTGTAATTTCTTTTCGTTGAGATAAATGATCAAGGACTAATAATACCAAATGTAAATTATCGGCGAGTGGACAAATACCACTGGTTATTTCTTGATAAGCATTTGTTTTCGTCATATAATTTTGAATTTTTTCTTCATATTCTTGTGCATCAATAAAAAAAAATAATTTACTTTTATCTGTTTGTCCAACAGCAATATTTGCTTTACGTAATTGTCGTTGCATTGATTTTATCATACGACTTAAATATTGTGCATTTCTTGCAATTTTGTTTGGTATAGGTTTCATATAAAGTTGTTGAAGTAAATTTTGAATTGCAAGAAAATATTCTTTAGCTCTTGTGTCTGTTGTTGAAAAGGCATAATCGGTAAGGTTTTTAACATTTTCATCATAAAGTCGTTTATATTCTCGTTCAGTAATTTTTTGAATTGATTTATTTGTAAAAAAATGACTTTGACATGGTGGAATAAATTTTAAACCTTTATTGATGATCATTAATTGTTCATTAGATAATGGTATAATTGTATTGGCAAAATATAAACATAAAAACATATCAGTATGATTTCTTATAACTAATTTTGATTTGCTCCGACACCATCGTTGTTCATTATATCTTGTTGTGGTGCCGGAGCTTCGTCGAAAAAAGAATGTAATTTTTGTTGTGTAATATAATCAGCTCTTTCCATCATATGTTTTTCACGTGCTTCCATTGCTAACATTAATTGTTGAAAATTTTCAGATGTTGAATTATTATTTTTTAATTTATCAGTAACACTCATTAGTTTTAGTTTTTCTTTCTTTATTTTTTTATCATAGTTTCGAATTTTTTCTTCACCAGCAGCTATACTTAATTCAAGCATATCATATTTAAATCGACCAACTTTTTTTAAACGACGTGCATTTAATATTGTTTGTTGTTTGCTATCATTATTCTGCATATAATCTTGTTTGGATCNATGGGACATCCATTATTTACATTTTACAGCTGCTTGTATTTCTTTAGGGTTCGTCTTTTTTCAAATATATCTGAAACTATTTTTGAGCATAGTCATATATGATTTGGTAGAGAATTTCAAGCGCTATCTTTTGATAATAAAAAGAGCTTTAATTACAGGGATAATAGACAAGAAATCTTAAAAATATTGAGAGGTCCATTTTTCCTGGGACACCCGTTATAATGAAGATAGATTCGATCTTTATGTGCATAGTTCTATCTTTTCTGAAATAATTGCTCAGGAGTCTGGGTTTTGAGTTTATTTTCTCTTCTTGTTGGTATATAGAGTAATTTTTGACATAGCTGTTGATATAATTCACTGTTTAATTCAGTCCATACACTCATCATATCATGCTGACCAAAAACTTTTTCATGTGTTGTTTTACAAATTTGAGTGGATAACCATCGACTAATAATATCATTTCTGTAATTAGTCATTCCATATCAAAATATTCAACTGTTGAACAAATTCGAGCTGTTCGAAGTAATGAGTTGTTCACTATATTAACATGAACATGACGTGGATGATCAGATTCATAAGGTAGAATATAGGGTTCTGAAGCTGATTTATGATAAATCGAAGTTTTTATATCTCCATTGTTATTATCTATCGTAACATAAAGATAATCTAATGGTTGACTCATCGTAGTAGACATTTAAATATTTGAATCTGTGTTTACTGTTTCATCAAGTACTTTTAGAATTTCTTCTCTTGATAAATTACTTGTCATAAATACATTGTTAATGGATCGCGCTCATTTTGCCGACAATATTTGTTCATATCTTAGCCTACTAAATCTAGTAGTTTCCAAGGTACACCACAAGGAGGTGTATGAACTAGTACCCCATAGACAAGACCAACAATTACAGATAATCACAACATAGAATCTGTTTTTTTGTTTTTTACAAAATTCTCTTCTTTTTTTCGGGGTTTTTAAATTTTCTAAAAGAAAAGTTACAAATATTTACAATGAAAGATTATGAGCAATACCCCGAAGAAAATCGATAGTTGATCTATTATGACGATCAGCAATAACATTTTGGTCCCCAATACAAATCGTTGTAGCCCTTGCACTGCATTTTGATTCCTTTAGCCCGTTGCGTTCGCCAACACAATAGTACAAATCATCGCGACTTTTGTCTTTAATATATAAAAACCCTTTAATGTTTATTATTATTTTACCCTTTGCAGAATTAATCACTTCAGCGTAACTGCTTGAAGCGCTGTCACTGCTTTGACTTGAAGTCATGATTAAATTATAATTTATCTCACGGATAACAGTTGAGTTTTAAAAAGTTTTCTGCTGCAATATTTTTAACAAATTTGAATGCTTTTTACTTTAAATCTTTGTCGGCAAAGTGTACCTGTCGGCAGTGTACCTGTCGGCAAAGTGATATGTCGGCAAAGTGATCCGGACCCATCGTTAATATATCTATAAGTGTTTATTATCATAAGTATAAAAGAACAGAGAAGTTAATAATTTGAAACTTACCGTCCATAAATTCCATGATGTATTTTTTCATGTTGAATTAATTTTGTTCTCATTCTAACATATAAATATTGGCTAAAACCATAGTAAAAGGTGAACCCATGTCACCACCTTTTATTTGACGATAATAATTATCTTTATTGACAAATAAATTTGTATCTAAGACAACACGTGCTAATTGGATAATAGTATCTATTTTGAGATTTTCAATTTTTCCATTTATTGCATATGTATGAAAAAAATCGAGTTCAAACAGCAATAGCACCATCACGTGGTATCATTTTATATAAATCAGCCACGTCAAATATGATGAATAATGTTGTCGAAGTAAGATAACCTTGTTGTTGATATTCTTTTAATTTTCGAACAACATCTATACTATTGATAAGTGTAATATGTTTGGTCACATAATTGTAAATTGGTGTAAGAAGTTGATCGAGAAAACTTGATATTTGTCTAGCTGGTGTATTGATTGAAGCAAGTATAGGTTGAACTGATATTTCAGACTATAAGAAACATATAATAGAATAATTTTCGAAAAAAAAGAATCATTTTACCTTATGTGTTTTAAGATTAAAACAAATATGAGTTAGTTATAATGTTTTTAAATTTGGATACATTTGTTTGTATTGTTCTTTCGTAATTTCATTGTGTTTCAATAAATTATTCAGTAAAGTTAATAAAGAATGTAAATCATCTGCTAATGGACAAATACCACTTGTGATTTCTTGATAAGCATTTGTTTTATTCATATAATTTGTAATTTTTTCTTCCTATTCTTTTGCATCAATAAAGAAGAATGATTTGCTCTTATCTATTTGTCCAACAGCAATATTAGCTTTTCGTAATCGTCGTTGCATTGATTTTATCATCTCATACATGTATTGAGCATGTCTATGAAGTTGTTTTGGTATTGGTTTGGTATATAATTGTTGAAGTAAATTTTTTATTGCAGTAAAATATTCAATAGCACGTGTATCAAGTGTTGAAAACATCTAATCAGTAAGATTTTCACTATTTTCATAATAGAGACGATTGTATTCTCGTTGAATAATTTTTTCCATAGGTTCACGATAAAAGAAATGACTTTGACATGGTAGAGTAAATTTCGAACCTTGGTTAATAATAAGCAATTGTTCATTTGATAATGGAATAATAGTATTGGCAAAATATAAACAAAGAAACGTATCCGTATGATTTCGAATATTTAATTTTGATTTGCTCCGACGCCATCGTTGTTCATTATATCGTCTTGTGACGCTGGAGCTTCCTCGAAAAAATATTTCAATTTTTGTTGTGCAAAAATATCAGCTCATTCGATCATATATTTTTGTCGTGCTTCAATAGCTGCCATTAATTGTTTAAACTCATCTGAATGTGAATTATGTTTTTTCAACTTATCAGTCAAACTAATTAGTTTTTTTTTCTTTTTTAGCTATTTTATCCCAATATTATACCTTTTCTTCACCAGCTCCTATACTTAATTCAAGCATATCATATTTAAATCGGTCAATTTTCTTTAAACGATGAGCAAGTAATATTGTTTGTAATTGGTTGTCATTATCATTCATAGTAGATCGTTTTGATCGATTAAGTATTTTATCAATTTTGTCAAGAGAATAATCGAGAAGATTGAAAGCTGGTGGTAAACAATTTGAATGAATGCGATGTTTTAATATTTCAACTTGTTCTTCCATTTGTTTCTTATTTCATATTGCTTTTCATATGTTACGAACAGAAAGAATTTGTTGTTTATTAGGTTTGAAATGATAAACATTTTGTACTAATCGATGATCTGTTGAGTCTAACTTTAACATCTTTCTATCATGTTCAAATTGTTGTTTTAGTTTATGTTGACCTTTACGTACAATGACTATAACTATTGCTGACAGTGTTGTAAAATCAAGTGGAGGATTCATTTCTGATAGACACTGAGACAATGGTTGATTGCCAAAATGTTTTAATGATTGTGATGCCATATATGTCAAACTTGAAACTTGAATCCAATTGAAATTTCAACTTTCAACTTTCAAACCGACAACACTCTGAATAATCATGGGTCACACACATCATCGCAGGAGTGCTGTCGGTTTGAAAGTTGAAAGTTAAAACTTAAATTCCAATTGAATTCAAGTATCAAGCTTGGTAATACTGATTAGAATCGGTCGTGGTTCTCGGGCAGTGACTCCCAGATAGAATAGTGACATCCTGACTCCCAATTGCAATGCGAAATTTATGTGAAACAATTGCTAACCAATACACACGAGTTTCTCAAGTCTCATTTATCTTATTCTCTCGTATAAAAATTTGATAATTCTTGATATAGAATTGTCTACGTATGCACTTTATAATAACTGTTCCAAAATAGAAACATTACAATTGACTATACAGCAAAACTTATTCATAGTGGACATCCCGTAGACCTTTCGAATGTGTCAACTGTAGAGAAGTTCGTTTCTAGCAAAAACTAGATAGCTGAGATTTTGAAAAATATTCATTATACGGAGATGTCTACTATAGACAGATGTTCACTATGCAGAGAATCGATTCCAGGAAAAATCACTCCGTGAAAGCACGAAGTGTTGACTAACGAAGGTTTCAGTCTATCTTTAATTGCAGTACATCCAATGAAATTTTGTTTATATTTCCTTTGCTTAAGATAAATTTTCGGAAAAATTCTTCAGTAGATGAGAATGTTCATCAATTAACAATCAAAAATCGATAAAAGACGTGAATACGATATTTATTACAAAAAATATATATATATACACAGGCGATGGTATGGAAAAACCATTGCCATTGTTCAGCTTTGATTTTTGCTAGCGTAACTGAATGTTAAGATATGATAAACATTAGTCTATTCCATCTTTACTCTATTTTTTTTCTTTCTACTACATTCTGTAGATTTTAGTTTTTCAAATTATTAAGAGAAGAAATGAGAAGTGAGTAAACTAGTCTCGCAGGACATAAAAATTTGCAAATAAAAAGTAATTCTTTGTAGCAATGAACTTTCTTTGAACGTCTAGTACGATCTATAAATCATAGGTCTAAGTTTTTATTTGCCTTAAATCAAAGTCGTTATCATGTTTAAATTAGTGAAACACAAAGACATCATTCATTTATAATATTCAAACGAACAAATAATAGAAAAGCAGATATAGAATTCTGATCCCGAATAAAAACATTCTATTTGATTAAGACGATATGACGAAAAGGCAATAGTTGAAGTTCTTTGTTCAGTTCCAAATTATAGATTATACTTACTAATGTCCGCGCCAGAATAAAAGAGGGGTGAGTGTAAGCTCAATAACTGGACAACCGCAATACCTAGCTACCTGCGGTTTTCACCAATCGAAAGAGGAGGAGCGGGCACGTCTTTTTCTTCGATAATGTATAAGACGAAATTCTTTTAAAACTAATGATATTTGAAAAACNTGAACTTTTTGTTCTCGTCTTGTGGGTTTATAAAGTAATTCATGATGTAATTGTTGATATGATTCACTATTTAATTCAGTCCACACATTCATAGCATTATATTTCATGAAGAAGTTTTTCATATATTGTTGTATAAATTTTGGTGGATAACCATTCACTAATAGTATCATTTCAGTACTTAAACGTTCCATATCAAAGTCTTCAACAGTGGAACACATTCGCGCTGCTCGAACTAATGCATTGTTTAATATGTTCATATGAACATGTCGTGGATGATCTGATGAATATGGTAGTATATAAGGTTCAGAAGCTGACTTGTGATAAATACAAGTTTTTAAATTGCCATTCTTATTTTCTATTGTAACATCGAGATAATCTAATGTTTGGCTAATTGTAGTGGTAATTTTAATATTTGAATCTGTTTGAGTTGTTTCATCAAGTAATTTTAAAATTTCTTCTTTGCTTAAATTACTTGTCATAAATACATCATCAATATATCTACAAATATTTAATATTATAAATATGAAACAGACAATAAATTTACAAATTAAAAAAAAAACATACCGTCCATATATGCCATGATTTACTTGTTGATGTTGAATTAATTTTTGTTCCCATTCTAACATATAAATATTCGCTAATACCATAGTAAATGGTGAACCCATAGCACCTCCTTTAATTTGTCGATAATATTTATCTTTGTAAGCAAATGAATTTGTATCTAAAACAACACATGCTAATTGAATAACAGTACTTATTTTAAGAGTGCCAATTTTTCCATGGATGGCATTTTTTTCACAAAATCGAGTTAAAGCAGCAATAGCACCATCACGTGGGATCATTGTATATAAATCAGTCACATCAAATACAATAAATAATGTTGTTGAATTAAGATAACCTTGTAGTTGATATTCTTTTAATTTTCGAACAACATCTATACCATTAATAAATGTAATATCTTTCGTTACATAATTATATATTGGAGTAAGAAGTTGGTCTAAAAAACTTGATATAAGTCTTGCTGGTGCATTGATTGATGCAACAATAGGTCGAACTGATATATCAGGCTAGGAAAACAAAAAAAAAAGCCGAAATTATATCTAAGGAAAGCAATTATTTTACCTTATGAACTTTAAGATTGAAATAAATATGAGCCAATTCTAATTTTTTTATGTTAGGATACATTTTTTTATGCTGTTCTTTGGTAATATCCTTCCGTTCGAGTAAATGATCAAGTAACAATATTACTAAATGTAAATTATCAGCTAGTGGGCAAATACCATTCGTAATTTCTTGATAAGCATTGGTTTTATTCATATAATTTTTAATTTTTTCTTCATATTCTTGTGCATCAATAAAAAAAAATAATTTAGATTTATCAGTTTGTCCAACGGCAATATTGGCTTTACGTAATTGTCGTTGCATTGATTTTATCATCTGACTTAAATATCGAGCATTTCTTGCAATTTTATTTGGTATAGGTTTCATATAAAGTTGTTCAAGTAAAGTTTTAATGGCAAGAAAATATTCTTTCGCTCGTGTATCATCAGTTGGAAAAGTATAATCTGTAAGGTTTTTAACATTTTCATCGTAAAGTCGCTTATATTCTTGTTCAATAATTTGTTTAATTGGTTTTTTTGAAAAGAAATGACTTTGACATGGTGGAATAAATTTTAAACCTTTATTGATTATCATTAATTGTTCATTGCATAATGGTATAATAGTATTGGCAAAATATAAACAAAGAAACATATCAGTATGATTTCGCATAATTAATGTTGATTTGCTCCGACACCATCGTTGTTCATTATATCTTGTTGTGGTGCCGGAGCTTCGTCGAAAAAAGATTTTAATCGTTGTTGTGAAATATAATCAGCACGTTCTATCATATGTTTTTCACGTGCTTCCATAGATACCATTAATTGTTTAAAAATATCAGAAGTTGAATTATCATTCTTTAACTTATTAGTGACATTAATTAATTTTGTTTTTTCTTTTTTCACTAGTTTATCATAATATCGAATTTTTTCTTCGCCAGCAGCTATACTTAATTCAAGCATATCATATTTAAATCGACCAACTTTTTTTAAACGACGTGCATTTAATATTGTTTGTTGTTTGCTATCATTATTCTGCATATAATCTTGTTTGGATCGACTAAGTATTTTATCAATTCTATCAAGCGAATAATCAAGTAAATTGAATGCAGGTGGTAAACAATTAGAATGAATACGATGCTTTAATATTTGAATTTGTTCTTCCATTTGTTTTTTATTTTCAATTGCTTTCCAAATATTACGAATACAACGAATTTGTTGTTGACTTGGTTTCAAATCATAAACTTCTTGTACTAGACGATGATCTGTTGAGTCAAGCATTAACATTTTTTTATTATGTTCAAATTGTTGTGTTAATTTATGTTGACCTTTGCGCACAACAGCTGTAACAATTCCGTTCAGTTTTGTAAAATCTAATGGAGGATTCATATCTGATATACATGCAGGTAATGGTTGATTACCAAAATTTTGTAATGCTTGTGATGCTTGTTGAAGTTGTCGTTGGATAGTTTTAAGGCGTTGTAAAATTAATGTTTTTGATCGACCATAAGTATAATTCATACTATTCATGGCAGCCCATTTCTTGGATACACGTCCTGACCAAATATTTTCTTGCATTCCAATATCATAATAATATTTCCATTGACTTTCTTGTAATTGTACATAAAATAGACGATGTATTAAGCAAGTATATTGACGAATATAATTAATTTTTTCTTTTGAGTTTAATCTTTTAACAATATCTTTAGCATTGTCTAATGAACTAATTAACATTTGTTTAAAAATACGATTCGATACTTTTAAATAATCAGGTACATAAGAAGAGTTATTATTAACATTATCTTCTTTATTAGATTTCTTTTTTGATGTTCCATTTGTAGTTGCTTGTTTCATTTCATTATTTGTCATTTTTTGTTTTTTTGGTGATGGTGGAGAAATAGTTAATTGACTTATAGATTCATGAATTGTAGTCGATGGTGGTTGTGATGATCTATCTCTTCTTTTACGTTTTGTGGATTTTTTCATTTTGCTATCATTGTGATGAATTTTATTTTGTGATGTAGGCGGAATCTAAATCAACATATAAGCATTAAAAAAAAAATTTCAACTAAAAAGTTACTTGATCAGATGGTTCATTCACTTGCATTTTGTCTGGTAAATCTTCTTCGATTATTTGATCATGTTGTTCCAATTGTTGAACATTAAGTTCTTGATCACCATTTCGTGTTATTGTTTCAGAATATACACCTTTTTGTCGAAGTCGTCGACGTCGACGTTGTGCTTTTCGATCACCACGGCATTTTTTCTTTTTTATAGGTTGTTCACCCATATGTGCTTCTTGTTGTTGTTGTTGTCCTGTCAGCACTTGTGTTGGTGATAATAATTCATACCATCGACCTTGTCCATCTTGACTAGGAGTTTTCGACGTTTCTAAATTCATATTCGAATTTGCATTCATTTTAAATATTTATATCTAGAATACAAAAAAATGATTCAATAAAGAAATGATGATGAAAAAAAAACCACAAAAAAATAACTTTAGTAGTCCATAGTATAACAAGCAACTTATACATAATAAAAAAAAATCTTTTACAATGGATATAACATAAGTTTTTTTTATACTATTCAATTTCAACAAAAAGTAATTTTTTTACTTAACGTTCATGAAGCAGAATTAATTGCGATGTTCATGTACACCAAAACGTTGAAATGCTTCAACAAAATCAGGTGGTCCAAGAGTAACATCTTCTTTTATTTTTTCCATATGTTGAATGGTAGATGGCTTCACATTACATTGTTCTTCATCTTCCATATGTTCAACAGGCGTGCTATTTCTTCGATGTTCCATATCATCTTCATTGAATTCATCATCCAATTCAAATAATTGTAAACAAAGTTCTTCCCATACTTGTTTCTTCTGTTTTTGTTGTTCTTCATTTTGTTCGAGTTTTTCTAATTCATTCCATAATTCTTCTTCTAGTTCTCCAAATAATTCTTTTCCTTGTAGTGGTTGATGTAACTGTTGAAGTCGAAAATAATGAGAATGTTGCCCATATTGATATTCCATTATTGCTGAAAAAGATTGTTGATGGTCATTTGTAAGCATTGCATGTTGTGGTTTTTGCTGTATCTATTAAAAAAAAAATTTACTTCTATAATAGAAAAAATGGTTCTATTATATTACTTTTTTACTTGTAGTGGATGTTGAATTGTTGATTGAATTTTTTTCTTGTTGAATATCCATATTGTTTTCAAATTGAATCTAAAAAAAAATATTAAATCCATATTTAAAAAAAAATTAACGAAACTCTATTGTAAAGAATTTCATATTTATAATATGTGTTACTGTATTGAAATTTCTAATATGTATATAAGCATACAATATTGTACCATAATACAATGAAATAATGTATACATTCATATATGTATATACATATGAAACTTTAAAAGATGAAATCCATAAAAATAAATGTTAACTAACCTTAGTAAAATAGTTGTAAGTAAGAGCTGTTGTTATTATTGCTGTTGCAGTTGTGACTGTAGAAGATAATTTGATGTGATCGCTGTTGTGTTAATTTTCGAATGAATAGATTATATGAAAATTCGCTCTATTTATAGGAAAGGCGATATACAATGATCTCTCCTAGGACAGATGACAGCATAGAGAGTAAGAGAAAAAGCAAGAGGGACACATCACGGCATAATACATTATACAATACGACGATGTTCACTAGGTCAAATTATAATATAGAAAAGAAGGACATACCACGGCATACAACGACAGACGACGACATAGTAAGTCATAACATAGCAGAGAAGGACAGACCATAGCGCATTTCCACAATAGATATCGAATACAATATTTTTTCTCATATTGTTTTTTATAATATTTTTTTTTTAATTTTATTTAGAATTCTTTACATTTTTTTTCTAAATATATTACAAAAAAACAATGTTATATTTTACTTAACATTCAACTATTCCTATAAATTTTAATTCTTTTTTTTTGTACTTTTAGTTTGTGCACTAAATTTCCACTTCAAATATTTTTAAACAAAAAATAGAATTACATATGATGAAACAGATATACAACACATTATACTATAAACATTATTCACTACTTTGTTTTTATTAAATTGTTCATTAATTTATCTTAAACTCTGTTAAATTATGCCTGAAATATATGAAAAAAAAACAAAAAAAATCGTGAAAATTGTATATAAAATTAATTTCGAAAGATTTATAATTTTTTTTTTAATAGATACAGCAAAAACCACAACATGCAATGCTTACAAATGACCATCAACAATCTTTTTCAGCAATAATGGAATATCAATATGGGCAACATTCTCATT